ACTGTTTCATGAGAAACTATTTGTTCTGTAAGCCTTCACCTGAAGTACTATAAAAAAAAAAAAAATGCTTCAACAGGCAATTATGAACACACTTGAAATAAATGGGAAAAAAAATAAAATAGCCTCAGCAAAGAAACAGAAGATATAAAAAAGAACCGAACATTCTAGAACTGAAAGATACAATTACTGAAATACAAAGCTCAGTGAATGGGCTCAACAGTAGAACGGAGGAGACAGAGTAAGGAATCATAAACTAGAAGAACAAAAAACTTAAAAGTGAGTTCAGTAAGTTTGTAGAATATAAGGTAAACAAAGAAAAATCAATCTTACAACAAAAAGAAAATAGACTGGGGGGAAAAAAGAACCTCAGGAACCTTCTGGACTATAACAAAAGATCTAAACTTTGTGTCATTGGAGTCCCAGGAGGAGAGGAGAAGGCAGGACTGAAAATGTACTTGAAGAAATAACGGCTGAAAATTTCCTAAATTTGACAAGAGACATAAACCTACAGATTTAAGAAGGTGAGGAATCTCAAACAGGATAAACCCAAACACATGCCAGAACACATAATTAAACTTCTCAAAACTAAAGACAAAGAAAGTAATCTTAAAAACAGCCAGAGGGAAATGACACTTTAACTAGAGAGAAAAAACAATCAAAATAACAGGATTTTTCCTCAGACACCATGGAAGCCAGAAGGAAGTGACAAAATAAAGTACGGAAAGAAAATAATTAACCCAGAATTCTATACCCAGTGAAAATAGCCTTCAGGAATGAAGGAAAAATCAAGACACTCTCCGACGAAGGAAAACTAAGAGAATTTATTGCCAGAAGACCAGCCCTAAAAGAATGGCAACAGGTAGTTCTCTAAACAGAAAGGAAATAATAAATGAAGAAACCTTGGAACATCACAAAGGAAGGAAGAACACAGAAAGCAAAATATACCCATTTGCATCAAGTCAATTCCAACTCACAGTGACCCTACAGGAAGGAGCAGAACTGCCCCATAGAGTTTCCAAGGCTGTAAATCTTCACGGAAGCAGACTGCCCATCTTTCTCCCACGGTGCAGCTGGTGGGTTCAAACTGCCAACCTTTCGGTTAGTAGCTGAGCGATTAACCACTGCATCACCAGGGCTGCTTAAGGAAAAATATGGGTAAATACAATAGGCTTTCTTCTCTTGAGTTTTATAAATTATGTTTGACATTTGAAGCATAAATTATATTAAATGATTTTAAATATATGGTGAGAAAATATTTAAGACACCTACATTTTAAGGAGTTCTGGTGGTGCAGTGGTTAAAGCAACTGACTGCTAACTGGAAGGCTGGCAGTTCCAAACCACCAGCAGCTCTGCAGGAGAAAGATGTGGCAGTCTACTTCTGTAGAGATTTACAGCCTTGGAAACTCAATGGGGTCACTACGAATCAGAACCGACTAGACTGCATCTAATAACAACAACAGCAATTACTAGAGAAGCTATACAAAGAGATATACTTAAAACACTACAGATAAAACAAAATGCAATTCTAAAAACTGTTCAGGTAACCCACAAAAACGCAGGGAAAAAAAGAAATGAAAAAACAAATTTTTACAACAATAAAATTTTTTCTTTAATGATCACAAGTATATTAACCAAAAAATTCAACAAAATATCCAGAGAAACATGTTTGGCAATGTTAATAGGGGTTGCCTTTGGGTTATGAGCTATCCAATGTTATTTTCTTGTCTTCAACTCTTCTGCATTTTCTAAAATGCCCATAATAAACATATATTAAGTGGAGAAACGAAAACAAAAAATAAAATGGCAGACTTAAACTCTAACATATCAATAATTGAATTAAATGTAAATTGTGTAAATGTACCGATTAAAAGACAGATTTTGGAAGAATGGACTAAAAATAAATGAATAAAAAAAAATCATACTGAGTGTGTTCTCCCATCACAATGTAATCAAACTAGAAATCAGTAACAGAAAGATAACAGCAAGATCTCCAAACACTAAAAGAACACACTTCTAAACACCTAGAGATATAAATCTAATAATACATGTACAGGGCTTATGCTGAACACAAAATGCTGACGAAAGAAATCAAAGCTCTAAATTAATGGAGGGACATACCATATTCATGGATTAGAAGCCTCAACACAGTAAAGATGTCAACTGTCCCTGTAATATAACATTTCACAAGTGCTCTCTTAATCCAGTTCTGAGGCCCTAGTCAGTTCCCCTTCCAGAGCTGCCTACAATGGCTCTAGCTTGCTGTTACTCTATCCCCAGATGCAACCCTGTGTGGCCCTTCATGGTAACCTTCTGTCATTCAGACACTTAAGAGTAAACTTTTCACAGTTTATCCAGAATGTTTAGGGGGCAGACAGAAAATAAGGAGCACAGAAAATTCTGTTCATAGTGGCCCATCTGTTATGGCACAGAGACAATTTATCAGACTTTGACAACTCTACTTTAAACAAACTGCATTTTATCCATGTCATCCTTAAAGAATACAACCCAAAACTACACACAATATTCTACCCCAGAGAAAACAGAGTGGGACTATTACGTCACTAATCACGGATGTCACCAACCAGTCAGGATACAAAGCCACTTTAATTCTTCTTTATTCTTACTCTCATATCAGTCATCAAGTCCTCTAGCGTCTACTTAAAATATCTACTGGATATGCATCCTTAACACCACTGGCTCATTCACAGCTTCATTTCCTTCAAGGATGATAGCCTACTCACTGTTCTCTCTCATACCAATTCATTTTTTGAAAATAAACTTTTGTACTTAATAGTATTAAATACCAATTCGTTAACTTGATATACAAGGCCTTATCATCGAACCCCAGTCATCTTCCCAGACTTCTCTTGCCACTGCACTTCTCACACCTTTAATGCTGTCTCATGTACCACTACCAACACAAAGATCCTGTGGATGCCCAAACACATACTCTGTTCTTCCAGCCATCATAACTTTGCAAGTTCTTTCTCTTCTGGTTCAGATGCCAGTTCTTCTGAACTTATCAAAATTCTACTCATATTTTAAGATCCAACTCAAGGAGTAAATTTCTGATATCTTCAGGCAGATTCAGTCAGTCCTTCCTAAGTGTTATTCCATCAATTTCTACCACTTATGTCAATCTAGCAATCTGCTGTAAAAGACCTCTTACAAGTGTTAAAAAGCAAACATGTCAATTTGAGGACTAAGGTGAGCCTGACCCAAGCGATGGTATATTCAATCGCCTCATATGTATGTGAAAACCGGACAATGAAAAAGGAAGACCAAAGAAGAATTGATGCCTTTGAATTATGGTGCTGATGAAGAATACCGAATATACCATGGACTGCAGAAGAACAAACAAATCTGTCTTGGAAGGAGTACAGCCAGAACGCTCTTTAGAAGCAAGGATGGTTAAGACTTTGTCTCACATACTTTGGACATGTTATCAGGAGGAACAAGTCTCTGGAGAATTACATCATGCTTGGTAAAGTAGAAAGTCAGCAAAAAAGAGGAAGACCCTCAACGAGATGGACTGATACAGTGGCTGCAACAACGGGCTCAAACATAGCAATGATTGTGAGGATGGCGCAGGACCCGGCGGTTTTATGTTCTGTTGTACACAGGGTCACTATGAATCAGAACAGACTTGATGGCACCTAACAACAGCAACAACAATATGTCAATGTAGGCAATTATCTATATGTGGGGCTTTCCCCTTAGTGTCTACTCTTTCCAAGAACATTATGGTTAAGAGCTGGGACTGCACAGTGAAACAGGTCAGGGCTAATGTCCTGCATAGACTATGTAGTCCATGACAAGTAAGTACACATCTCTTGAGCCTCAGTTTCCTCACCTGTAAATAACAAATAATCATAATACCATAACATAAGTATGTATAGATTAAATAATAATAAATATATTTTGAAAATTCAGCACTTTGCCTGGCAAATAGTAGAGGCTCAACAAATATCAGCTCTTATTATCATCAGCCACATTCTCTCTTCCCTCCGACCAGAAGGTCTAGTACAAAGTAGCTATCCAATGTTTGCACACAGATAGCTTTGGAATACTAGGTTCCTTTATCTATTTGAACAGAATGAGAGTTGGCCTTTAAAAAACCTCCAGTTCACAGTTCAAGGCAAATAAATCTATACTGAAATTAGTTTCAGAATTCCAAATATTATAATCTACTCCTCTCCAGAATTAAGGTAGGTTTGTCACTTTTGTGAAAGGGCAGCTTCTATAGACATAAATTTAACATGCCATTCTCCTTTAGGGGATAAGAAACAAAGATGTTCAATAAATATTTGCCGAAACAAGGGAATGAGATGAAGCTGTTCCAGAGAAAATAATTTATCTACATTCATTCAATCCAACACTTACTGTGTACATGTTATGTGTCAGGCACTTTGCTTGTTATCGGATACAAAGAATACAAGAAAGCACAAGCTATTCTTTCAGTTACAAGGAAGTCTGAATTAAAATGACTACAGCCACAAGAAACCCCTTTTCCTCCTCCACTGAACGATATGTAGTTAAATACAGTATATAGGAAGCAGATTTAAAATGAATTCATCAAATCTTATGGAAGAAAAAAATACACGTAACTTTTAGGAAGACAAAAATACACACATGTAACTTTTAGGTTTTTATTTTGTTTCAGACAGCTGGACAAGGCATCTATATTCTTTCTTCTAGCATATCTTCTTAACCACTAACCAAAGTGAAAAGCTACTTACTTATATATAAAAGGAAAAGGAAAAGGTCATGATTGTCTAACAGGGAAGTTTAATTCCCAAATAAATTATCTTACAAAAATATCAAAGCTGCTTCTCCAAACACTTTTCTACTGGTAAAAAAAAAAAAAAAAAAAAAAATTCACATTAAAAAAAAATCTGTAGGCTGGTACAGCAAGTTATGAGCATCATTTTTACAACCTAAGTAAGTCCTTCATATAAATATTTTACACAAATTTAAGTTTTCAAAAAAATAGGTCAAGTATTTACCCTATGTTTGTTTGGTCCACTAAAAGACCATTTATTAAACTGATATTAAACTGAACTATAGATGATATGCGACAAATAGTACACGCACATCACTGAGGCTGGATAAGCACATGTGCATGTTACATACACGAGAAATTGTTAACACTGCTGTGCAAACTACTTCCAAAAGTAGTATTACCCTGTAAAAATCCTCTAACCTACCTTGAATTGAACTGCAAAGAAAAAGCAAGAGAAAAGACTTTGACAATAGTAGACATCTGCATTTTAAAAAATAAAAAATTATAATGCTTTTGGGTCTTAAAAAGATGAGTGAACATGAGATAAAAGTCAACACTGTTTACAAAGTATGTGAATATGGACAGTATATTCAAGACATTCATCAAGACAGCACATGAGTCAACACATATTACAAGAGCTCTGTCTTCTAACTAGTCTACTCCTATTGTTTAATTCTAGTTTTACATAGCCTTCACATCTTTTAAAGGTGGAGATTTAATAAAATGTTACAGTAAGCTTTTCTGTTCTAGTAACCAACTTAAAAAAAAAAAAAAAAAAAGACAGCGAAAGCATACAGACCTTTCTATAGCCATCCATATTTTTAAGGCCAGTTTGATTTTTTATTGTGATGTGGTATTTCAATTAACACTACGCTAAAAATAAAACTGACTGCATTATGGTTTTGTCCACAAAATTCAAGTACTTATTTCTAAAATATTCCAAAATGAATCCAGTAAACACTTTCCATTTCCAACTGCCTGAGAGATGAATTCAACTATTTTTGTCAATTACAACTTAACTGGGCTGAGAACAGCGACATTAAAAATCCTGCAAACCAAAGCCAATCATCCAAAAATCTAAAACACTAACACTTTCCAGCCAGGATAGAAAAATGAGCATCCAAAGTAAAGAGAACCACACGACTGATCAAGCAACCAATCAAAAACTACTTCTCTATTGTTAGAGCTAATAGTTACTCGAAGCTTGAAGTTTCCGCCTTCGTTATTATTGGTGGTTCCTAGAGTCACAGCTTCAATGTCAAATGTGACAGTGGACCCAGAAGTAACTGCGGGTAACTGATTAGTCATTTCTTTTCCATTTACAAAAACTGCACCTAAAATGTTAAGATAAGGAGTCATTTACATATGAGCGATAACTGTAAGAGAATTGAAACAATTTCTAGATTACTGGTAGACCAAAACCAAACCTGTTGCCGTCGAGTCGATTCTGACTCATAGTGACCCTATAGGACAGAGTAGAACTGCCCCATAGGGTTTCCAAGGAGCAGCCGGTAGATTCAAACTGCCAACCTTTTGGTTAGCAGCCGAGCTGTTAACCACTGTGCCACCAGGGCTCCAGATTACCGGTAGCACAGCTAATTGCTTTTTAAAAGTATTTTATTGTGTTTTTGGTGAAAACGTACACAGCAAAACCCACTCCCATTCAACAACTTCTACAAATAATGTTCAGTGACACTGGTTACATAACACAGCTCATTTCTTAATTCAGATAAAAAACAACATTCTGTAATGCCAACTGGTCATAGATAATGTATTTAAATGTTAATTAACCCTCCATCCCCATGGCAGGAGAAAAAGTTAAAGCCTGAATCACATTTTAGAGCCCAGGGTTCTACTCTTTTCCAATATGGATGGCATTAAAAGAAATTTGACTCCCTTACAAAATCTGCATACAATAGCAAGATTGTTTCATGTGGAATAAACAATAATCTTGTTCTATCTAATGCCGGACCCAAAGCCACAAAACATTAACATTTCTTGGCAGTGACTTTTTTTAAAAATGTGATTACTGGAGAGCAAATAACCAAAGAATAATAGAGATATATAACCAGTAAACATTCTCCTCAGTTCCCTAATCTATAAGTATACTGAACTTAGATGACCCACACACAAAGGCACACAGAATCCAGAGGTAGACTGTTGTTGGGTACCACTGAGTTGATTTTCAACTCATAGCTACCTCATGTGACACAGTGGAACTGCCTCATAGGGTTTTCTAGGCTGTAATCTTTATGGGAGCAGATTGCCAGGTCTTTCTCCCGTAGAGCCACTGGGTGGGTTTGAACCACCAACCCTTCAGTTAGCAACCAAGCATGTAACCACTGCACCACTGAGGCTCTTTAGAGGCAGACTGCTTAGTTCAAATCCCAGCACAGTCACTTCCTAGCACTGTGAGTTTAAGTCAGTTACTTAACCTCTTCGTGTCTTAGCTTTCATCATCTATAAAATGGTTATAATACCAGTACCCACTTCAAACAGTTGTTAGAAGGTTCAAATGATTTATCATCATATTTTTACGCAAATAATGCGCGCCTTTTATATTTGTTTGCCAACCAAGCCCTCCCCCGTAAGGTATTTTCGTAAGTGTGCTATGCTACCTTTTTTTACAGTAACATGTAAGAAAAAATTGGCATAGTGGCACTTACAAAAATAGCTTGCAGGGGGAGGGCACGGTTGGCAAACAAATGCAGAAGGCACATGTTATCTGAGTAAAAATACAGTATTTGTGAAGGATTTAGGACAATGCCTGGTACCGTATAAATATGTCATAGACCTAAATCTTCTCATCTCCTGCTACGAAGGCATGATATTGGAACAGATTCATATCTGACTGTAGTAATACCTATATTCCAAGGAGAACGACAGTGATTTATTTCTTACCATTTGTACTAATGCACACTGCTTGATCCCGCTGCAGAGAGTCATATCCATTCTGTTTTTCTGCACACACTCCTATACTGTCTCTTCTGTCTGGTTGTCCCACAGTTTCAACTCTGTAAATGAAGTAGAAAGGTCATTTAATCTTTACCTTTTTAAAACATGGTACCTAACAGCTACTAAATTTAAAAAGAGCAATTCGTCACAGTCGTTCTTTTCTAAATAATAATAATTAACAATGATTGGGCACTTACTATATTCCAGGCACTGTTCTAAAATTTTTCTATCTATTAATCTATCTCTCATTCAATTCTCATAACAACCTAGGAGGTAGGTGCTATTATTATCATGCCCGTGTTACAGACAAGGAGACTAAAGTATAAAAGGAAAAAGAGTTTTAAAAACTGTTAAATAATCTGACAGTGACCACCTGGCTGATGAGTGGTGGAATCAGGATTCAAACCCAGGCATTCTCACTCCAGAGTGTATATCCTGTACAGCTATAATGGCAGGCACATTTCTATTTTATATTCTGGCTCCACACACAGAAAATTTGTCATATTTGCCATTATAATGAATATGACTATTATTGCCATCACCTAAACCTTCAATATGAAAGTCTATGCAATGATTTCATTACGGTTTATCAAGTGTTTAAAGCCTTTAAAAAATAGATAATAGGCTTCTAAGAAAAAAGATTATGGTTATAAACACACTATTTTGCTTGGAGAAGTTCATATGTGGAAAATTTACACCTTTTCTTTTGTGTTTTAGTTTCAAATCTGCCAACACATCATTCCTCATGTACTCTAGAGCAGGAAACATAGGTATACAGGTAAATATATATCCCGATTACAAGACTCATCTTTCCTTCCATTCCAAAAAGGCAGACTTCACAAAGACGGAAAAAGCAAAATTGGTGTGGAACAGAACTCGGCTTTTCCAAGGACAGGTTTTATTATTTATATTCATTGTGGCCCCAAAATGTCATTTGTTATAAAGTGGCAAACATGCATGATCATAGCAAATACATGGGCAGGTTTCTAAAGTCATTTCACACCTTACCCAGCAGTCTAAAGAAGTACAGCACACCTTCTCTAATGCATTTAAAATTGAGATACAATTAATAAAAAATCAATTTATGCACAAGTTAGTAGGAATGCACCTATTGCAGACAGTAAAGTAGAAGGTTCTAGCCTGATAATTTTTCTCAAAGGTAAGATATTCTGAGAAAAAGCATGGCCCAAATAAAGGAGCAATTTCGATGGCCACACCTAGTACTCGGCACTTTGGCTAACTTTGATTGGACTGAAGTGACACATCAGACCATCTCAAACCTCCTTCTTTCCACAGTGAATACCTGGAGCAAACATACAAAAATTCAGACCAACAGCTAATAAACACATGGAAAATATTCAACTTCATAATAAGTATAAGAAATGAACATTAAAACAAGAATTTTATTTTGCCTATCAGTTACAGATTGAGAAAAAATGGTATGTTGACAAGGATGCAGTGACATCAGTACGCGCTGCTGGGAAGATTGTAAATGCTTCCGGGAATGCAGCTAGCTAGTCTGCATGTCACTAACACGAAACTATCCCAAGGAAGAGGGAATTAAGTCCTATGTCAACAAACAGGGCCATGGGACAGCTTGACTTGTCAGGAATAAGGAAGAGAGAGAGGGATGTCTTATCAAGTCATGGCAAAGAAGGACTTTTGATATAGGAATATACCCTTTTACTTACTACATTAATCCTAAAATATAATTTCTTTTCTCTTAAAATGAAATAGATAACTTGAATACTCCGACATCTATTATAGAAACTGAAAATCTTTCAACAAAGAAAACTCTAGGATGGCAAGGTCATTGGTGAATTCTACCAAATATTTAAAGAAATAGTAGCAATTCTACACAAACTCTTCTGGAATATAAAAGAGAAAGCAACAATATTCATCTCATTTTCTGAGGCCAGCATTACTGTGATACCAAAACTAGACAAAGACATTGTAAAAAAAGAAAACCAACAAATATCCCTCTTGTGAAGAGACATAAAAATCCTCAACAAAATGTTAAAAACCAAATTTAGCAATATATATAAAGAATAATATATGGCCAAGTAGCGTTCACTGCAGCATTATCTACAATCGCAAAAAGATGGAAATAACCTAAGTGCCCATCAACAGATGAATGGATAAACGAACTATGGTACGTACACACAATGGAATATTCCACAATGGCAAAGAACAATGACGAATCCGTGAAACATCTCACAACATGGATGAACCCGGAGGGCATTATGCTGAGTGAAATAAGTCAATCACAAAAGGACAAACATTGTATAAGACCACGGTTATAAAAACTCAAAAAAAGGTTTACACTCAGGAAAAAAAAATAAACTTTGATGGTTACAAGGGAGGGGAAGGATGGGGAGGGAAAATCTCTAACTAGATAGTAGACAAGTGTCAACTTTGGTGAAGGGAAAGACAACACACAACATATGGGAAGTCAGCACAACTTGACCAAGGTAAGTTAGAAGCTTCCTAGACACATCCGAACACACTGAAGGACTGAGTTGCTGGGGCTGAGGGCTGGGGACCATGGTCTCAGGAGACATCTAGCTCAACTGGCATGACACAGTTCATAAAGAAAATGTTCTACATCCTACTTTGAGGAGTAGTGTCTGGGGTCTTAAAAGCTCATGAGCAGCCATCTAAGATACATCTGTTGGTCCCATCCCGTCCAGAGTAAAGGAAAATGAAGAAAACCAAAGACACAAGGAAAATATTAGCCCAAAGGACTAAAGGACCACATTAACCACAGCATCCACCAGCCTGAACCCAGAAGAACTAGATGGTGCATGGCTACCACCACCTACTGCTCTGACAGGGATCACAAAAGAGGGTCCCGGACAGGGCAGGAGATAAACATAGAACAAAATTCAAATTTACAAAAAAAGACCAGACTTACTGGTCTGACAGAGACTGGAGGGATCCCCGAGACTATGGCTCCCAGACATCCTGCTAACTCAGAACAGAAGCCACTCCCAAAGCCCACTTTTCAGGCAAAGATTAGACAGGCCTATAAAACAAATGGTAACACATATAAGGAATGTGCTTCTTAGTTCAATCAAGTACACGAGACCAAATGGGCAATTCCTGCCCAAAGGCAAGACAGGACAGAAAAACTGGACCAATGGACCCAGAGTGGAAAGGGGGAGAGTGCTGACACATTGCGGGGATTGCAACCAATGTCATAAAACAATTTGTGTATAAATTTTTTTTTTTTAACTTACTGTGCTTCAGGTGAAAGTTTACAGAGCAAATTAGTTACTCATTCAAAAATCTATACTTAATTATACTTAGTTAATCTACGAAGCAGGTTCCTCATGTGTGTTATTGTTGGTTATTATGATAATCTTGGTGAAAGCTGACGGTGTCTTGGGTCAGGATGGAGCAGTGGAGGTGATGATAAGTGGTCAGAATCTGGATATATTCTACAAGAGCTCACAGGATTTACTGACTGATTGGTTGTGGATGTGAGAAAGAAGAGTCAAGGAAGACCCCAGGGTTTTGGACTAAGTAACTGATAGAAATGCCATTTGCTGAAGTACCGAAGGCTGTAGGAGGAGCAGATTTGTGGAGGAATTTATCAGTTTGTTCTTTGACAAATTAAATATGGTTCCTTATTAGACATCTAAGTGAACATGTGGGATAGGCAGTAGGATATACATATCTGGAGTTCAGTGGAGATGTCCAGGCTGGAGACATTAATTAGAGAGTCATCAGCACCTAGACAGTATTTAAAGCCATGAGACTAGATGAGATCGACCAGAGGATGAGGGTAGATACAGGACACTGGAGAACTCTAACATTAAGCAGCTGGGGAGAAAAGAAAGAACCAACAGAGGATTCTGAGGAGGAATATCAAGTGAGGTAGAAAGGAAAAGCAGGAGACTGTGGTGTCCTTGAAGCCAAGTGAGGAAGTGTTTCAAAGACGAGGCAGTAATCGACTGTGTCAAATGCTGCTGATAGAGCAAGTAAGAAAACGACTGAGAACTGACCTTAAGGTTTGCAATGTGGAGGTCATTAGTGACCCTAACATGAGCAGTTTCAGGGAGTAGTGGGGGGTGAAAGCTTTATTAGAGTGCGTTCAAAAGAGAAAAGGGGAACTTCTAGGACCAGTAGGTACATGGTAGCACCTCTGTTCTGAATTCTTCCACTTCGGGAAACCTAATGGAGTAATAAGGAGATGGGGGGTGGACCTAAGCCAAAATGACTTTTTTTAAAAAATAATACTTTATTGTGTTTTCGGTGAGCCAAAATGACTTTTAAAACATAAGCCAGATCATGTCATTCGCTAGCTCAACATGCCCATTGGGCCCCTAAACCTCACTCAGAGTAAAAGCAGAGTCCTGCAAGGCTCAACACAATCTGTGAAGCACAGCACCATGGTTAAGGGTATAGACTCTACAGCCAGGCTGTCAGGATTTGAATCTCAGCTCCACTATTAAACTATCTGTATAACCACAAGCAAGATGCTTACTCTTTTCATGTCTTAGTTCCCTCAACTATAAAATGTGTCTCCCTCTTGAGGATTTAATGAGATTTTACATACGTTAAATCATTTAAGTGCATGGAACTAGCACAGTTGGGTCTAACAAATGTTACCTAGCTATCGTTATTTTGTATAGGCTAGTTCAACTCGTGAATTCATGAGAAGTCAAATGCAGAGCATGACCCTCAACATTACAAAACCTAAACCTGGTTTGGTTTTACCTGGTAAAGCTATTGAGCCTTTCATAGGGAAAAAAATGATCTCTCTATGTGATATCAAATGTCCTCAGGTGAGCTCCAAAAAGAGAATTTCTTTTAGGAATTAAAGAAGAAATATACGCAGCCTGTCCAAAAGAACATCCTACCTTTCTGGGATTCTGTTTGACTGTATCCCCATCTCTCTTAACCCCACCCAGACTCATTACTTGCTGCTCTGTGTACCTTTTCTACCTCTGTATCTTTGGTTCTTGCTTTGTTTGCTCCACTTAAACTGCCCTTTCTAGCTCTACTTGAGATGAAGCCTTCACCAGTCCCTCATCTAGAAGGAACTTCTCCTTCT